AAAAAAAAAAAAAAAAAAAAAAAGCAAAGGAAAGGAAAGAAAAGAAGAATAGCACATAAGAAGAACATTAGCATGCGCCCTGGGGCCCCGACTCGAAGGTCGATTTCAAAGCCGATTTAAACCGTGTGACGAATGAGGCGCGACAGTTGGCCAGACCCAGCCAGCTGCGCCACTGGGAACACAGAAAGAGCATTAGCATGCGCCCTGGGGCCTGGACCCAAGGCCAATTTAAACCGTGTTTGACGGGAAGTCGTGGATTGGCGAATGAGGAAATGCGAGGCCTGACGGTTGGCCGGACCCAGCCAGCTGCGCCACTGTTGACGGAAAGTCGTGGATTGGCGAATGAGGAAGTGCGAGGCCCGACGGTTGGCCGGACCCAGCCAGCTGCGCCACTGGTAACACAGAACATTGTCTACCGCGTGGGTGGGGGGAACACAGCCCTAACGTAGCCAGAGCAATAAGACTAAGCGTGCGCAAGCCGAAGCAATGAGACTACGCGTGTGCACAAGAGAGAGAGAGAGAGAGAGAGAGAGAGAGAGAGAGAGAGGAGGAGGGGGTTGCGAGAGAGGGAGAGACTACCAGAGAGAAAGAGAGAGAGAGGCTGAATCACAAAATTTACGAGCAGTCCAATTTTCAGCATTTTCTATGCATTCTTCAGAGCAACAAAAATCACTGAAGTAGAGTAGTTTTTCCTTGTGCCCACATGTGCCAAATCTGCATGGAGATCATTTCGCCTGTGAATCCTTCTGAGCACAAAGAATTGTCGAAGTTGCCTCTTGCAAATTGCAGGACTGGACCCCCCGGTACCCCTTTTGTGTAGGGTCCTAGTGGAAGATGACGTTCACGTCCGTCCACACCAGACCCGGCCTCAACGCCTGGGCCTAAGGGTGGCCCCTTTTTTTTGGGGGTTCACTTTATTTAATATTTTGCTGGAATGATCACAACAAAATATACGAGCAGTCCAATTTTTAGCATTTTCAACGCATTCTTCAGAGTGCGAGAAATCACTGAAGTTGGAGTACGTTTTCCTTGGCCCACACATGGTTGAGTGTCAAAAATGGGAAATGTGCCGAATGTGCGGGGCGATTGTTTCACAGTCTTAGTGAAATTTTTAAATGTTTCTGATATTTTTCCTGGAAAGATAACGACCTAATCTAAGGATTCTCAAATTTTCAGATTTTTCTGCGAATCCTTCTGAGCACGAAAAATCGTCAACGTTGCCTCTTGCAAGTTGCGGGGCTGGACCCGCAGGTACCCCTTTTGTGTAAGGGCCTAGTGGAA